GATTTAATCATGTAGCTATCTATATCCGATTAACGTGATTTTTTATAGACATATAGTACTTGACGAGTTCTACACATTGACAGTTCGGATTATCAAAATGTGACTGGTGGTGGGCCTCCAGTGGGCCCCCACTGGCCCAACATTACCCTCAAATTTAAAAAATATATATGCCTATTTTTTTTTTCCGCTTTGACAGCCTTTCCATCAATTCTCAGTACCAGTCACGTCTTTGTATTAAAATATGTAATAAATTAATTTTTTTATATTTTTAATTTGTGAATAGTGATAACTTTTTAACTTTTTTAGTAATTTTTTGACTTTTTAAATTTTTTTAGAGATGTCAAACTAGGCCTTACTTGTTAAATTTAAACGGTAAAATTTTATTGTCAAAGCCAATGTTAACATAGTGAATTTTTAATGTGTTAACATTTTTTTCTTTTAATATTTCTATCAATCATGTTAACTGTAAAGAAAAATTAGTGAAACATCACTCTTTAACTTTGTGTAATAGAAGTAGTCTAAATTTTTTTTTTTAATTAGTTAAGATCCCTTGATAAAATTTCTTTGTGTTAGAGTTGAAATTTCTCTGAATTAAGTCGAAATTTCTCTAAGTCAGGCATAAATTTTTCTAAATCAAATTTTCTCTGTAAAAATGTTAAGAGACCCTAATTATTATGAAAATATTATATATTCTTTATTTTATAAAATTTTAATATCAGGAACCTTAAAAAAATTTCCCTGACTGTAATGGGTATGCCCATTGATTGTACAATTTAGTTTGGAAAATTACAAACTTAGTTTGGGAAATTAAAATAAAAATAAAAATAAATTTGACCTTTGTAACAAAATAAATTTTAAGTTTTTAATTTTATCAATTTAAATCATAATTTTTTTATTTAATTTCAATTTAAACCATCTATCTATTTTTGTTAAGTAAAATTAACCAAAAAAATATATTCTAATCAGTAAACACAATGAAATAAAGATATTTTAGACATCTTATATATATATCTCAATTGAGTTTAACAACATATCTTTTTTTCACCAGTTTTACTTAATAAAAAAAAATGATTTAGATTAAAAATAATTGATAAAATTAAAAATTCATAATTTATTTTGTTATATTTTTTGTAATTTTTCCTTCTACTTTTTAAATATTAAAATTGACAGTAAAATTTTAAAATAAACAAATGATATTGTGGTCAAACATATTTGTCCTTTTGGTAATGAACTTTTATAATTGAGGAGTTCTCACCAAATCTCCCATGGTGTAACCTCATATACGATTACTAGTTTACTTTCTTTTTTTCTTTTTTTTTTCCTTTTTTTTTTGGCGTGTGGATTAAAAAAAAAATGCCAGTGCTGTTTTCAAGCATAAAAATTCATTGACATTGTTTGGCTTCACTAATGAAATTGAGTATGGCTAAGGCCAAGTTTGGGAAGACTAAATAAGTACACTTTTTGTCTTTTTGGACTAAAAAATTGAGATTGAAAATATGGATGTTTGGGTTAACTTTTTGACTTTTTATGGAAAAATGTGTAATAAAAAATTGTAAAAATTGGTTTGTAGAGGAAAATTTGAATTGGGAGTTGTGCAGCCGTAATTGTTGACTTTTGGTGAATAGTGTTAACTTTTTAACTTTTTGAGTAACTTTTTGACTTTTTAGCTTATTTGGGACTTCCCAAACTTAGCCTAAGTATTTATAAAATCCGTAAATTAAATTAGTCTAGTTTAATCTGGTAGATTTAGATTGGATTTTTGAATTTGTGGTCTAATTCTAAATTGAAAAATTGAAGAGTCGTTCTACATGGATCGCTTCCGAATTTCACTTTACAGTTTCGGATTAAAATCCATCTGAATCATATGCAATACAGTTCTGATACATACTATCCTACCTCTTGTATATAAAACCAAAGCTACTGTTGTATTTTTTCCACTCAAAGTTTGTTTACCTTTCTATTCAAAGCCGCTGTTGTTGTGGAATGATGGGCTGCTACTAGAGCTGCAAACGAGTCAAACGGAGCCGAACTTTTATTGAGTTTGAGTTTGGCTTGTTCGCTTATTAAGCTCGAGCTTAGCTTGATAAGTATCTGGGTTCAAGTTCGGCTTGGCTTGACCCGATAAGATTTTTTTAAAATATTATTTATATTATTTAAATAAAAATATTATTTAATATATAAATAATATATTTATTATAAAATTTAAATAAAGATAAATGAACCGAACTTAACGAGTCGAGTTTATTCGAGCTTGAGTTTGGCTCATTTAAATGAACCAAGCCGAGTCAAGTTTGTTCATAAATAGTAGCTCGGTTCATTTGCAGCCCTAGCCGCTACTATGAAGCTATTTCTGTGAAGTAGTGTTGTTTTTTGTTGCTATTGTTGTGTTATTTTTTAATTTTAGTTTTGGAATGGTATAATAATGGAACCAATTATAGTATTTTTTTTTTTGGAATTTGTTGATGGTTGCTGCTATTGTTGCAGTGAAACTAGATATTACATTTCTTTAAATGAAAGGTAGGACAATATGCACGTTTATATTTTGAAAAAATTTTGGGCAAATTAATGTAGAAATGAAACTATTATGTGATTTTTTTTATTAATAGATTATGTAAATCCGTAGTTTCAAACCATGCCCAACTATATTTAAATGTTTGGTTTGTAATTAATGGATTGAGTTTAATTTTATCCCATACTAAATCAATTCAGATCATATTCACCCTAAAATTGTTAATTAAATTTTGAGTAGGGTAGCGATTTTTTCCACCAAAAAACTACTAGATTTAAGCCTCCGTTTGGGAAGTGGGTTGGCTTTTTGGCTTTTTGGCTATTTTAGCCTGGTTTGGGAAGAGCTTTTTGGCTTTTTGGCTTTTTTGGCTTTTTTTGTGAGAGAGGATTGTAATGATTATGGGTTGAATTTGATGTTTTGTTTTTTGTGACTAAAATAGCCTATTTTATTTTTTGTGACTATTTTAGCCCCAAACCAAGTTCCCAAACAAAGGCTAAATATCATTGACCGGTCATAAGACCTGCCCGTAACTGTCCCATGATTTAAAACAAACCAAACTTTATCAAATGGGCCTAAAGTGGCCCAAGAATTTAGCTAATAGGCCCAACATAATCATGGGCTTTCTTGATTGGTAACACTTACGTTTTCAGTTTTCTATTTATATTTATAAAAATTTTAAAAATTCAAATAAAAACTTGTTTGGTAAAAATTCATTAACTTACATTCATCCAAAACCAAAATGCAATTAAAAAAATAGAATAACCTATTAAAATAACAAACTTCCCAGACGAGGCCATTGACAATATAGACCAAGTCCACAAGTAGTGTTTCAATCTCTTCCAAACATCATGAGAGCATCAATTCATTAGTAATAAATAAACATGTAAAAACAATCAACTTTGACCCAAAACCAAGATATTTAAGCATTAGATATTTTCGTATGGTCATATGATTAGTAAAATTAATTTCTTTCTTCTACAATAAAGGTGTACCTTCCAACCCTAGTAACAAGTCTACAAATCACCAATAAGCAATTAAAATCAACCACCATGGTATTGACAAAACAATGAGACACTTTCAATATCGAAGGCAGAAGCAAAGAATTCTAACAATATAAACACCCTAGTTTAATCATTGAAGATTGAAGAACATCAAGTACATAGCCATATATAAGTGAGCTTCAGGACTTCCTGAAACTTCTTTCATCACCTACCACCACCACCACCCACCACCACCCGCCACCCACCTGCCACCAACCACCAACACCACCACCACCCACTCGCTACCACCCACCACCCGCCACCGTCACCCAAAAATCAAATTATAAAATTTTTATAAATATAAACTAAAAACGTAAACGTTATCAAAGAGAACTTTTACAATCAAGTTTGGATTAGATCCGAAATTTGTGAACTAGAATGAAAAGCCCTATTCGTATAAGGCTGTTTGGGCTTGTTACTAGTTCAGACTGGCCGAGAGCCTAAAAAAAAGTCATAGAAATTGCAATTCAGTGCAATTTGAAAAAAAAAAAATCATGAATTTACAAATATTTTGAGAAGACACTATTGATTTGCAATTTTTCCAAAAAAAGTCACATTTTTCATTTAGTTTTTTATTTTTAGTAAAATTTGTGTTAGATTTTTTATTTTTTATTTATTTATTTATTTTTTTTTACATTTCAAGTCTGTTTAGTTTAGAATAATTTAAAAAGTAAGAAAAAAAAATTTTAAAATAATATTTACTAAAAGTCAAAAACAAAAAACTATTAAAAAACAACTTTTTTTTGTTTGTAGTGGAAAATTCTCAATATATATATATATGTTTTTTAGACTGATTAGAAAAGTAAAAATATTTATAATAAAAAAAAATGTTTCTGAAAAGAATTTCTTTTTATGAGTGAAAAAGTTCATGTGACATTTTAACTTTTTTAAAAGATTTTTTGGTTAACAAATAAAATCTCGAGTGTGTACATTGATTCTATAACAAAGACACCATTTAAGTCAGAGAGTACAACTGTCAAGATTTGACCCTACATCCAAGCTTTGAATAAGGTTTATCCAACACTTAGACAGCCGTCCTAGAACCACTACACCAAATCTCAGGGAGTTGGTCATGAAAAGTGTAGAACCTGGGATCTCGGGATTTTTGCCCCAAAGCCTTATCAAAGTGCCACAGCTCTTTGAGTTACTTTTTAAAAAGATGAACAATATGATGATTTTTTGACTTTTTAACATTTTTAAGCCAAAAAATAACTTTTTACTTGTTTCTTCAAATAACCCTTAAATAGATTTAAAATACATAAATAAATAAAATAAAATGAGTGACTTATAAGTCAGCTAAGAGAGAGAGAGGGATTCAAAACATAAGGGGAGATACTTCAGTTGAGGGAACATGGATGAGGAGAACAATGAATAAAGCTGAAAAGAAGCTGTAAATAAAAGACAAAAATAAAGAGATAATTTGACCCCAAAAAAATTAAAAAAAATTAAAAAATGTATTACGGTAGGTCATGCCAAACAAACTCACTGTAATAAGTTCAATCAATTTTGGGCAATACGATTTAAATGAAGAAGAAAATTAGAAACACATTTAGAAATGGAAAAACAAATTTGAAGATTCCTAAACTAGATGTAGCCATGTTCTTCAAAGGGAAATCCTCTAATGGTCTAGTGCTTGGGATTTTTCCTTCCAAATTGGTGTTTGTGACATTCCTGCAATCAAACCCCATTTTGAAAATTTTGGGTAAGTGTATAATGATATAATAATGCATTAATATATACAATACCAAGATCAATTTATTTACAAGCTTAATTAAATAAATAAGTAAATAGAGGCAAAAGATTTTAAAAAAAAAGTTACAAACTTACAAGATTTTGAGATGGGAAAGGTTTAAAACTTCCTGTGGAATTTTTCCAGATAAATGGTTATCGTTGAGGCGTCTACAAGGCGAAAAACAAAACAAACAAGTGTGAGATAGAATCGCGAATTTATTGTCAATTTTTTTTTTCTTTTTTTTCTTTCACAAATCCCCTTTTAAATCCTTATTAATTCAAAACACAGTTTTAAGTCGTGAAACATAAAAGCAAAACAAAGTATCCGACACAAAAAACACAAGACAGATAGTGATGGATATATAATTACCTAGGTTAGAAACACCTTCAAACCCAAGCTAATTATATATATACAACCCACCATGTGGAGTCCGCTATAGTTAAATGGTCATATGAGAAACCTTCTATAAAAAGCCAAGCACAAAGTAGGCAATACTCTAAACCATAAATCTACTCTCTTTACACTTCAATTGTACTAACTTAAGCAACGGAATAGCCTTTGCAGACACCATACCGATACTCACCCAAACTCACTCTTTCTCTCCTCATTAATGGTGAAAAGTCATGGAATCAAGATTGAATCAAGTGAATTTCAGCATCATCAAATAGAATTTTACAATTTGTTGGTCCAACCCACTTTTTAAAAATATTGTCTAGCAATATATTTTTTTGTTTTAATTTAGGAAAATTATTCCAAGCCCTAAGGGCACACCACATGGCTTATGCAACCAATCAATCACCAAAAACATAGCTACCTATTGTTTCCCCATGCACTAACAAGCTCCACATTCTCTACCAATTATCAAAGTTTTTGGGCACCACCATGCCATGCCTATGGGGCATCAAATAACTTCTCCCTAGTTTATGTGTTTCTAAATTTATTGTTAAACATTGAAAAGTGATGTGTTCAATCATCAAAAATTCAAAATTTTATTTATTTATTTATTTAATTTTATTTTTTTACAATAGTTAGCGAGGAAATAGGGAACGGGAAGTTGCATACTCCAGCAATAAAACAAGAGCTCAAACATCATACCTGATAAGAAAATACCTCATTTATTGAGCCAACTCTTTAATCTTAAACTCCCGTTCAATTAATTCAATTATATGATAGAAACCAAGTATATTTTTTGTTAGATTGCATATATATATATATATATGAATTAGAAAATAAATAAATAAACAAAATTCCAAGCCAAAATACCTTCTACTCATACAAAAGAAATTCACATCTAGGTTTGAGCAAACTCACAAGAACTCAAGGGACTTCAAGTTTCCCAATGAAGGTGGAATTTTTCCTGAGAGATTGTTCTGATACAAGTCCAACTCAATGAGATTCTTCAAATTACCCAACTCAGCCGGGATACTTCCTTGAATGTTGTTTTGGTGAAGTACCCTACACCATCAACACATAACAACAAATTGTTGTTTTGTATTTTAAAGAAATAGAACATAAAAAGTTCCACATAACAGAGATAAAAGGTGGAACCTTATCTGTAAAATTTTTCGTATTTTTATTTTTGTGTTACTGAACTTTTTTGAGGAAATTAGGGAGGGGAAGAGCTTACAGATATTGAAGTTGTTGAAGGTTTCCAAGTTCAGGAACCAAGTTACCAGTTAGGTTTTTAGAACCCAAGTCCCTGCTCGTAAGTGACAAGAAAACTATAATTAATTATTTTCCTTTCTTTTTCCCGGAAAATCAGAAATGAAATGGAAAGAAAAGCTTAAGGCCTCGTTTAACAACTTTCAGTCTTAATCAAAACGTAAAAAAATTATTATAAGTTGTCACATCATTCTTCTTATTTTTTTATACATTTTTCTTAAAAAGTTAAAAAATTATTAAAATAACATATTCTCAAATAAGGTCCAAATGTATGAGAAAGCTTAGAAGAATCAAAAGAGTGCACATATGAAGTGATGAAACATTGACACATGTATACATCATAGCAAAACATACAATTTTTTAGAAAAAATACACAGAAAATAATTATATATTTATTTATAAAAGAAATTAAAATATTTATTATTAATATTTATAAAGTTCTACTAATCTTTAAGCACAATTCAATTACTTTAAAGTGGAACATCCCACAAAAGGCAAAAGGAAAAGAATAAAGGGGAAAAGAAATACTTTACAAAGAAAATAAGAATTTGAATAAAGTTATACGCATCAATTGGTATATTAATTAGTGTATCAAAGGATGATATAACATAATTTTAGAGACTTTGAGTCTCTATAATTTATATAATAGATAGGATCTATACTTTTAAAGTGATAATGTCATAACATATATTTATATACTATTTGATATATTACTTGATGCGTGTAATACAGAATAAAAATATATGAGGGAAAAGACTTTGAAAAGCCCATTTGGTATCAATTGCAGTGATATTGGGAGTAACAAGTGATGCATATAAAAAAATCGGATTAAAAGCATTGATCATAAAAATTAAAAATAAAATAATAATAATAATAAAAAGCCTTCGTTTAGTTTTCATTGTGGGCTATATAATCACAAAAGACAAAAAAAAAGTTACAAAATCACAAAAAGACAAAAAAGCTATAAAAGTACCAAACTACCCCATATACAAACAAAAAGTCAAAAAAGCATCATTCTATACTGAGGGCAATTTTGTCATTCTAAAGCCAAAAAGTCAAAAAAATCAAACAAGAATACCAAACGACTAAAAAAGTCTCAGACTAAAAAAGTCAAAAAAGCCAAAAAGTCAACTAAAAAAGCCATAACCAAACGACACCTAAAACAAGAAACAAAAATAAAATTTTTTATAACAATTATGAGTTGTGAATCGATTATAAATTAATATATATTATGCATTAGTTGATATACATGTGACTTTTACTTTCACCCTATAGGGGGAGTGATAGGCCAAAAAAATTATCAATACTTTAAACAGCAATTCTATCGTTTCAAAAAAAATTCAAAATTTTGTCCAGAATTTGTAATCAATAGCCAAAATTTATTCAAGCTGTGTGTAGCCCCTCACCTCATCAAGAAGGGTAAACCTAAACCATTGATCAACAAATCTAAATATATTTTTCCAGATATTTATCTAGTCCCTAGACTTTCTCTATATTAAAAAAGAGAGAGAGAGAAAGGGGCAATACAATAGAATAACTTGTTGATTCTGATTGCAAATGATGTGAAACCAAGTACAAGGGTTGATAATAGTTGAGTCCCAACTATGTAAGACGTTGTTTGGATCTAACAAGCTAAGCTTGAAGACAACAAGAGCATCTCCTTCATTGTTCCCACAAACCATTATTGAGTTTTCATTCAAAACTATTGTTAAAAAGAAGGTTAGGGCTGCAAAGACGCTCCAAAACCATTTTGGTGCTGCCATGGCTTCTCTCAATTGGTTTCTAAGTATATAGAAAGAAAAAAACAAAAAAAAAAAATCTAGGGTTTTAAGTGCTTGGAGTTTTGGTGATGAGAGCAAGAGTGATATATATATATATATATATATTGATAGATGAAGAGAGAGAAACGTTGTTGCTCACCATGTTTATTTCTTCTTCTTCAATTATTTCCATAAAACAAAGGTTTGTCTTTAGCAGTTATGGAGTTTATTGGAAAATTCTATATATAAATAGATTTTTTACACGATTTATCACTAGTGATAAAAAAACAAAGGATTTTACATGTATTTATTAGGGAAAATTATACCTATGTATATTTTGAGAGAAAATATTATAGGTCTCAAATTTTCTATTAAATAAATGATCAAATGTCTCACACGGGTATGGGGTCTACAAACTTCCCACACCGTGTGAGATATTTAGTGATTTATTTAGTAGAAAATTTGGTATCCCTGTTTTGAATTTAGATCCTTTCCAGTGCTTTCTACGGAAATGGTCCAGATTGGGCCACGTCCCCCACTTAATGATGGGTGGCTCAAATCTAGCCCATTACAAAACAATACAAAAAATAAATTCCAAAATTTTTCCCAAAACATTCCGTTGCCACCCTTGAGTTCTTGACTAGCGACCACTCTCCGTCCACGAATATTGACGGCGAAGCTCTTCGGTGAACATCGACAGCGACCTCCCTCTCCAAATCCACTCTCGCTAAGTGGCCTGAAATCCTTCTCTCTCTCTCTCTCCTCCCACTTCCTCAACACATTATCCTCACTCTCTTCTCCTTCAAAATTTTTCTATGATAACTTTTTTTAGAGGTTGCAATCTCATGTTCCTAATTTGAATTGTTTAAATGCAGACTAGTATATGTTGCTTGAATTCATGTTAAAAAAGGACAAGAGAATCTTATTTCATTTTTGCATTGCAATAAATATCTTTTGTAAATAATATGCCCCTACTTCTATGATAGTTTTGGTTGTCAAGCCTCATGAACAGGGAACTGCTTTTATCTAAGTTCCAAAACTTATTTGTCTAAGTTCCAAAACTTCCCAATCAATCTAATTTTTTCCAAATTTTTTAAGCAAGCATGGTAATAACCACATGGAAAAATTTACAATGTACATCCTTTTAAATGGTGTACATTGTAAAAAAGTTATGATTTTTCATGATGAATGTTATGATTATTATAATGTGTGTTATGACATTTTGTAGTAAAGTTATAAATATCGAATTTATGATGTGCACCCTAAAATTAAGAATGATAATGTTATGATATTTTGTGATTTTTGTTATGACACTTTGAGATTTTGTTATAACATTTTACAGTGAAAAAAAAGTTATGACTTTTGTAGTGAAAAAGTTATGATATTTTGGGTTTAAGTTATGAAATTTTGTGAAAAAATTATAAAAGGCATACTGTATGCACCTTTTTGAGGGTGTACATCGTAACATCTCTCTAAACACATTTATACAATCAATCTCGACACTCATCAACAGGGCAAAATTAGAGCAAAATTCCTTAGTTACTCCATCCTCATCAATCTTATTTTTCCAATTTTTGGAGCCATACATATCACCAAAGTGAACTATATCTATTAGGGAAAAATTAGGACAAAATATATCTATAAAATTAGGATTCTTTAGATTAATAATGTGTGTAAGATAGAGAGAAAGAGTGAAAAAGATTCGGGGAGAGAGAGAGAGAGAGGCTTCGTTGGCAATTCAACATGCAATTTCACTTAAAATCGAAATATAATTTTATGATGACATGAATTTCCCTAACATGCGATTTCAAGTGAAATTACATGTTAAAAATGTAATTTTACGTGCAAATTTCAATTTAAAATTACATTTTCAAAATGCGATTTCAAAAAACAAGTTAGTTTTTCAAATAATTTAAAAAGTGGGTTAATTCTCTAAATTATTATTTTATTAGAAATTTTTAAAAAAAACTCCCTAAAGTTGGTGTTAGTTTTGTAGTTGATTTTACCATTTTACCGTTAGTTGACTTATGAAATGACAAGACATATATTTAGATCATGAGTTTAAAAATAAAAATATGAATGAAATATAAATTAATTTTTTTTCTATTTCTTTTTTTTGTTTATTTTTAAATCTCTATCTAAATTTATGATTCTAACACAATTTAAAAGAATTGTATCAAATATGGCAAAGACCACCCTTAGTTAAAAAATAATAAATTCAGAAAATATATTCTTGAAGAAAAAAAATGTTACTATTTTATTTTTTTGAAGAAAAAAAAGTTTTATGTGTTAAAAAAATAAAATCTATTTTTATTTTGTTTATAATTTTTTTTTAAAAAAATATTTGGCTTTCTTTAAGAAATACTAAATTTTGTAGTATTAATTTTGTAGTCTTATTAGAGGACTTGTACATTTTAATGTTGGTCTCTATCGAAAATAGATAAAGGGTAAGGTGAGAATTTTCTAAAAGAATTTTGGTTGCCACATCACTACCAACGTTGAAGGAATATGAAGGAATCTGAAATACTGCTACAAATAAAAGATAATGACAGTGCCATTTCAAAAACTTAGAAAAAATATTTGTAATTGTCACAAATTCTAGAGAAATCAATGTAATTTACACTTATTTATTTATCTTACGATTTGTTGTTTTAAAGCATGACTCATTTTCATATCACTATTTTCTACACTTTTTCATACTTAATTTTCTAGACCCCATAATAATAAGTGGAATCGTTTATTTTATAAATCTTACAATAAAGACCATCCGTGCAAAAAAATAATTTCATCAGATTTCGATCGATAAATAAATAATTAATTCACATTTTGTTTTATAAAATTGATCATTTGAGTTTAAACTCATCATATTGCCGTTTATTTTAAATATATATATACATATATATAAAATTTGTTCACATGCTTAGTATTATTCTTGAAATTAACTCATATTTATTGTTAGATTTACAAAATAAACGATTCAAATGATTATTGTAAATTCGGAATGAAATTAACAAAATTATATTATAAACTTGTTTGGTTATCTCTGTTTTTTTAAAAGAAAAATGCTCCATCCCCCAATTTTTCCTCCCTTAATGATGTAGCAAATAATACTAACTAATCAACTCTTTTTAAACTCTTTTCTCTCTTTTCAAAATTGTTTGACACATCATTGGGGGAGGTTGGGAGAGAAATTGGGGGATGGAAGATTGATTTTTTATTTATTTATTTATATATTTCTTATTTTTTTTAGTTTTTTTAATATTTTACACAAATTTTTTATTTTTTAAATACACTTAAAAAATATAATATTTGTGACAAAATTTTTAAAAAATTCGCTAAATATAAAAAATACAAAAAAATAAAAATAAAAATTCAATATAATTTCGTATTTTGTTGTAATCAATAATTTTTTAAAAAAAAAATTTGTACAAATTTTATACCTTTTAAATATATCAATATTAGATAAATCTAAAAAATATAAAAAAAATAATTAAAATATTTTAAAAAATTACTAAAAACATAAAAATACGAATTAAAAATTTTAAAAATTATTTTTAAATACCACTAAAATAAAAGATTATTGCTTATTGTCATATTATTAGTGGCTCTATTAAAACATTATTTTTAATACTTTCAATTATTTTTCAAAAAAAATAAATAAAATATTTATATTTTATTTAATTTTATATATTTTTTTCTTTTCATTTTCAAATTATTTCTTAAATATCTCAAGCAAATCCATTTTTATCAACAATGATTCATCCCACTAAAAACATCACCACTAATAGCACTAATGCATTAAAAAAAGTAAAAAAAAATAAAATAAAATACAACTCCAAGACTAAAACATCACATCATTAATGACGGAACCCACTGCCACCTAATTAGTGGGAGCACTAATTAATGCTCCCAAGCATTTTTCCATTTTTAATTTACAAATTGAGCATCTTAGGAATTGAAGATTCCGATTTGATCAGAGCCTTTATGCCCACATCACACGTGTGCTTCCAAGTGCGAGCAAAACAACCCTAAACTTTACTCTCCCAACCTCTTGAAAGTTTTGTAACGGTTGCGAGTGGGCTTTGCATTTACATTACATTACACACGTTTCATAGAAGAACCGGAAAATTATTTAATAATTTCAGGATTGCCGTGCCTATACTCCCTAATCAATTATTATTTAATATATTTTTTATATTTTTTAATTATTTAATATAATATTTTATTTATTTATCATTTTTATTAATTATAACATCATAAAATATCACTTATCTATATTTTAAAATTATTTATTTATCATTTTTATTAATTATAACATCATAAAATATCACTTATCTATATTTTAAAATTATTAAATAATTATCCGAAAAACAGAGAGAGATAAAATAAAAAAAAAATACATAATTGGATTATAAAATATTAGATAGTACTGTCTACCACTATAGCTCAACCTCACTCTCTTCGTCTTCTTCTTCTTAGCGTTGACACAGAAGCACACACTTAGGGTTCTTGCTCTTCACAGGTACTCATATGTGTTCTTTCATATCATGTTTTGATTTTCAGAGTTTAGATCCTACTTTCAAGCTCTGTTATGGGTTTGAAAGGTTTTTTTTTGGGTGATTTATAGAGTTGTTTTTTTTGTGTTTTTTGCTTGAAATCTCTAAAATGTTGTTGTGCTCTTGGTTTGTAGTGATGTTTTCTTGTTGATCTGTTGGGTTTGAGTTTGATCTCTGTTTATTTGCTTTATTTAATTTTGTTTTTTTGGCTTTTCAGTGTTTTGGGAAAGTTTCCGCTCTGTGTTGTAGCTGTGGCTTCTCTGACATTTAGGCAATTTTCTATTTCTTATAATATGGGGTTTTGTTGACTTGTATGACCGTTTTCTGATCTGATGTGTTCACTTGGGTTTGTTTCTGGAAATTCTTCTGCCATTTCTGTTTGAAAGTAGTCGTCTTGCTGTATTCCTTATTTATTTGTTTTTCTTTTTGGGTCCTTTTTTTTTTTTACTCTCTATTGTGTGTGTGTGTGTGTGTGTGAGAGAGAGAGAGAGAGTTTTGCTCTGCCTTTTCTAGCATTTTGTGCTCTGCATGTCTGCACTGTGGTCTCTGTGAACATCTCTTGGTCATTTTGGTTGTGTTTTGGCTCTCTTAATGCCCAGCTAGCTTTGTTTTGGGTCTGTGACATCTAATGTTGTAGACTCCTGGAGTATTTTTTGTGTAACCTTTTTCTATTTTAGCCTCTGAAACATTGCTTCTGGAATTCCTTTTTTCCCTTAACTTCTGTTTTGTTTTTTGATTTTTTAATTTTTTCAAAAAAAAAAAAAAATGGCTTTCTTGGAATCTATTTTCTTGGTTTCTTTTCCTAATCTATGGTGAGGTTATGGTCCTTCAACTTTATTTGCATGCACTACAAGATTAATGATCTAAGCTTTATTTTTGGGGGCTTTAAGGGTTCATGACTGTATATGCTCTGTTGTCTGTTAAGAGTGCTTTTTTCCCTTAACTTCTGTTTTGTTTTTTAATTTTTTAATTTTTTCAAAAAAAAAAAAATTAGCTTTCTTGGAATCTATTTTCTTGGTTTCTTTTCCTAATCTATGGTGAGGTTATGGTCCTTCAGCTTTATTTGCATGCACTACAAGATTAATGATCTGAGCTTTATTTTTGTTGGCTTTAAGCGTTTATGGTTATTCATGACTGTATATGCCCTGTTGTCTGTTAAGAGTGCTCATTTTTTGTGCTAGAGTTTCATGTCTGAAAGCCTCATTAGGAGTTGTAAATGTATTGAGAGTTTCATATGCTAAATCTGCAACTTTTTTTACATTTTAACAACCAATACTATCTTTTTGCTTTGTGGAGTTTGTTTGATATGTATATATAGTGCTCTTCGCAGCTCTTCCTTATTGGAGCGCCTTCAGTAGCCTAATGATTTACCGTTCCAGTGTCATCTGTTCCTATGATTTTAATTGTCTATAGTGTGATTTGAGTTTGAACATATGTTCTGCGTTTTTCCTTTTTCTTTTTTTTTTTTTGTGTTTTTGTTTTTGTGCTTGTTTCTCCATGCTACTGCTGGTGGCATGTTATGGCTTATCAAGTTATCAAATTTGTTTTTCTTATGCTCATACTCAAGCCGGTCTTTATACATGATGTTTTTATGGTTGCAAGAGCAATATTAAGTAATTGTTACCTAGTAATGTTTCTAATTCTCGGTTATAGAGTCAGAGTGAGGTTCCAATGTGTTTTTTTTAAGAGTTAATAGTTTATGGTAACATATTCTTAAGAGTTGTTGGAACCTGTTATGATGTTGTAGACCACTTAAAGGCTGTGCCTGTCTTTGGAGTTTTGAGACGCATTCACTGTTTAATGCCTCTCTTTTTTCTTTTTTACTTTCTTCCTTTGCTGCCTGGAATCAGCAATCTTGATTTCATGATATTCACAGCTTCCATTTGTTGTCATAGCTTTTCAGTTGCTGTTCTGTTATTGCTTAAGGGTGTTAAAGTTTTCTGATTGGTTCAATAGGTTTCAACTTTGTATTCTTTTCATCTAGTTTGGAAGCATTTACTAGATATGGTTTCATTTCTATGATTTCTGTCAGATATTTTTTACAACTTTAGATGTATTTTGGTTATTTTCAGGTTAGGATCTGGTAATGGATACATTTGAAAAAGATGGAAATGGTACAACAGAATCTTTGCCACCTCCTCCACCTGTTCCCGCAGACGTTGTTCCGATGCGAGCAGAAGCAGATAATGCTCCTGAACCAGTTAAGAATAAGGCTGTGCGTGTCCCAATGGCTAGGCGTGGTGTGGGATCCAAGGGACAAAAAATTCCGATCCTAACTAATCACTTCAAAGTGAATGTAACCAATGTTGATGGGCACTTCTTCCACTATAGTGTATATCTCATACCTATGCCTTGTTAATACTAATTCACCCCTTTTTGTAGAATTTGATGGAACTTAAAAAGCTGTATAATTCATTCATACTCATCTTTGGTTTTTTTGTAAACTCTAAACAGGTTTCAGTTTCTTATGAAGATGGCCGTCCAGTTGATGGCAAAGGTGCTGGAAGAAGAGTGATTGAAAGAGTTCATGAGACTTATGACACGGAGCTGGCAGGAAAGGACTTCGCTTATGATGGTGAGAAGAGCTTGTTCACCATCGGTCCTCTTCCTCGGAACAAACTTGAATTCACTGTTGTGCTTGAGGATGTTTCATCAAATAGGTATAACAAGTCTTCAATTGCTTTGATTTGTGTAAGCTGTTATTGATGTTTTGCCTGTATATCTCAACCTTTTTTTCCTTTTTTTGTTTTGTTCTCAGAAATAATGGAAATCGCAGCCCCGGAAGTCCAAATGGAAATGATCGAAAGAGACAACGAAGGCCATACCAATCTAAAACTTTTAAGGTGGAAATTAGCTTTGCAGCTAAAATTCCTATGCAGGCCATTGCAAATGCATTGCGTGGTCATGAGTCGGAGAACTCTCAGGAAGCCCTAAGAGTTCTGGATATTATTCTGAGACAGCATGCTGCAAAACAGTATGTATCATACTTACATACTTAGAAGTTACAACGCCTGATTTATGTGCTTTCTAACTTAATGAGGTGCATTTCAGGGGTTGCCTCCTTGTTCGTCAATCTTTCTTTCACAACGACCCGAGGAACTTTGCAGATGTGGGGGGTGGTGTACTTGGCTGCAGGGGATTCCATTCTAGTTTCCGAACTACCCAGGGTGGCTTGTCTCTGAACATAGGTAATAGACATACACACAGGCAGGCACGCTATATGCAGTTGTGTTATGCTGTTCATAATATTTCTGTTACTTTCATTTTTAGATGTATCTACCACCATGATTATCCAGCCCGGGCCAGTTGTGGATTTTCTGATTGCAAACCAAAATGTAAAAGATCCCTTTTCAATTGACTGGGCGAAGGTAGCAAATTTTCCGCCTTAACATTGTTAATTTGATAACATGTTAATATTCATTCATTCATTCATTCTCCTCCTCCTCCTCCTCCTCCTCCTCCTCCTCCCCCCACCCTCCCCTCATGATGTTGAATCTTTCTTGTTTTGATTAGGCCAAACGTACGCTAAAGAATTTGAGGATAAAGACAAGTCCCTCAAATTCTGAGTGCAAAATAACTGGATTGAGTGAGAAGCCCTGCAAAGAGCAAATGTATGCTTCCCTATAGTTCTCTTTTCCTTAGCTCACCCTGAGTGGGCCATAGAGTTCTTATAGAGTTTATGATTATACTGTTCTTACCAAGAATCACTATTATTTCTTCTCTCTCAAGTATATGAATTGTCAGATAATTGAGTTTTAATTTAATGGCTGACTTCTTTCTATGCATGTTATAGGTTTTCTTTAAAGCAAAAGGGAAAGGATGATGATGGCGAAGTTCAAACACTTGAAGTGACTGTCTATGATTATTTTGTGAATTACCGCAACATAGAGTTGCGTTATTCTGCTGATCTGCCATGCATTAATGTTGGGAAGCCAAAGCGCCCTACTTACTTCCCTCTTGAGGTGCAATGATGAATTATTGTAGTGTTCTGTTCAGTTAAAAAGCCGTATACATCCAATTTTTGTATATGAAATTCAATGGTGGCATTGCTTTTCAGCTTTGTTCCTTGGTGTCATTACAACGCTATACAAAAGCACTGTCAACTTTTCAAAGAGCTTCACTAGTGGAGAAATCAAGACAAAAGCCACAAGAAAGGATGAAAGTATTGACTGATGTAGGTGTCTTCCCTGAAAGCTTGGTTCCTATTGTGCCTTGCAATGTCTCAAGTCTTTTTTTGGTTTTGACAGGCTCTTAAAATCAACAATTATGATGCTGAGCCTATGCTGCGGTCTTGTGGAATTTCAATCAGTAGTAACTTCACCCAAGTTGAAGGCCGAGTGCTCCCAGCTCCAAGGGTATTTATCTAATTCTGTTTTCTTTTTGTTATCTGTTTTATTACCATACACCACTATACTGGATTTTAGACTAACTATAGTTTATTCTACAATAGTTGAAAGTGGGAAATGGAGAAGACTTCTTTCCTCGAAATGGCCGGTGGAATTTTAATAATAAGGTGCTCATCATATTTTTCTTTTCACCTTTATTTCCTTTTTTAATTTTCTAATCCTTCTCTTGCTTAGACTGATTCTGTGATTCTTAAAATATTTTATTTGCTGCTGTATAGAAACTAGTGGACCCAACAAAGATAGAGCGCTGGGCTGTTGTAAACTTTTCGGCTCGGTGCGACGTACGTGGCCTTGTTAGAGATATGATCAAATGTGGAGACATGAAAGGAATTGTACGTTCTGTCATTTATGTTTAATGTAGGTTCACTGCTATTTTATTCAAAATACAACAAATAAGTCCCTTTTGTTCTTGTAGCATGTCGAACCTCCATTTGATGTATTTGAAGAGAATGCTCAAAATCGACGGGCCCCACCTCTGGTTAGGGTGGAAAAGATGTTTGAACAGATACAATCCAAACTTCCAGGGGCTCCTCAATTTCTTCTTTGTCTTCTTCCGGAGCGGAAGAACTCTGATCTTTATGGTTTGTTTGATATGATTTATTTAATGTTTTGTCCACGTCGTTTTCTTTGATAGTGTTTAATGAAGAAAATCATTTAACCTCTTAAGGTCCATGGAAGAAAAAGAATCTTGCTGATTTTGGAATTGTAACTCAATGCATTGCACCAACAAGAGTCAATGACCAATATTTGACAAACGTTCTCCTCAAGATCAATGCAAAGGTGAGATACTATGTAAATTTGTAATTCCTCAAATGTTCTTCAATAGTGTCTGAAGTTCTGATATTCAAATACAGCACTTTCATCATCTTCTTATTTCTTGCAGCTGGGTGGGTTGAACTCAATGTTAGCTGTTGAACATGCTCCTTCTATTCCCTTGGTATCCAAGGTTCCCACCCTAATTCTTGGTATGGATGTCTCACATGGCTCTCCTGGCCAGTCTGATATACCATCAATTGCTGCGGTAACAAGCTACCTTTTACTCATCTGTGGGTTTCTATATGCCCATATACTCCTGCAAAAAATAAAAAATAAATCCTTTGATGTTTTTTAGTACCTAAGAAGCACTTCCAAATGCATACACAAATCCCATGCTTCTTAGTTCTAATGATAATGACTCTCCCCAAATGAAAAACAAGAAGAAAAAAGGAAAGATAAATAAATAAATATATATATCAGCTTGACTCTGATTAACTATCATTTAAATTGATTTGTTTTATCTTATTCAAATTCATAGGTAGTGAGCTCGAGGCACTGGCCTCTGATTTCACGATATAGGGCATCAGTCCGCACACAGTCCCCCAAGGTTGAGATGATAGATTCCTTGTATAAGCGTGTTTCTGACACCGAAGATGAAGGCATATTTAGGTGGGAATTTGTTTTTAATATGAATTTGTAGCCATTGTACCTGCTTCCATCCATGCATTCTCTGTTCCTTGTTTCCAAATTTTGTTGATTGCTTGATTTAGTAATGCTGCTGATTAAATGCCATTCAAATTATTCATGTAATTTAGTTCTAGTTGTATTCCTGTGATTATGATTACGACTTCATTGAGGCAAAGCAAGACTCTCTCTTTCAATTTCAGGGAGCTTTTACTGGATTTCTATGTTAGTTCGGGGAAAAGGAAGCCTGATCAAATTATCTTATTCAGGTAATTATTTCTTCTCCATTTGGCCAATTGTAAGTATGTTTACTGCATCATACCTGGATTATTATCTTCTCTGCTCTCTAATTTTTCTTTAAGCAATAATGGCATGAAAATAAAATCATAGAGCACAATAAAGATACAAAAATAGTTGAGAAGCAACTGATGGAGAAAATGTGAGATGATATTAGCAGAGAACTACCTTTCTATTGAGGGATATTTGAGATTGGAATAAAATTAACTTATTATCTTCTTAAATCTATATTGTTATCATCAAAATCAATTATAAACAATGCGTGGGGCTAACGCTATGGCATTCATATTGTATATGTTGAATGATGGGATAAATGGTAACCATGGATCCGGACACTGTTTGTTATGTGTAATAGTTTTATTGGGATAATGGAACGAATTTTGTACATCAGAGTATCACATGCATCTTACATGAACTCTCATAAATTTGTGAAGTACCTGTGTTGGACTTGTGGGTATGGGTGTGAAATATGTGTGGCATGTCTAGTTGGACATGTGCCAAACGGGGATGTTTGTGTTGGAGTTTATCATGCATAAAATGCTGATGTTAGTTTGTAAACATTTCATTTTTAAGAGATGAAAGATGTATTTTAAAAAATGAAATCTAGCAGTTTCTGAGTGTCATTGGGCATGAAATTAAATGAATTTGACACCTAAACACATGCTTCCATTCAACACCTGTATGCAAATCTATGTAACGTAGACCACATGTATCATTCACTACTTAAATTTTGTACGCTATATTGCTCCATACCCTGTTAGATTTGATTAGTCTCTGCATCATAAAAATTTTGGACATGCATGTGTATTTCCTCATTTCTTTTTAATTGTTCTACTTTCCTTTGTACTATCTAATATATGCTCATCTCATGGTTCTCAGATCCACGTGCATTTCTGTTTTTTACCTTAATTCTTAATCAATAATGTTGGTGAATTTTTCTAGGGATGGAGTGAGTGAATCACAGTTCAATCAAGTTCTAAACATCGAACTCGATCAAATTATCGAGGTTTTCTAGCTAACTAATGCCCTTTGATAATATGCTTAGATGCTGTGTCTCCTTCTCCTGCTTGGTAAAAAGAAAGAGTTGAAAATTTATTGTATTTGTGCAGTCCTGCAAGTTCCTTGATGAGAAGTGGTCGCCCAAGTTTGTCGTGATTGTTGCGCAGAAAAATCACCATACAAAATTTTTCCAGCCAGGATCTCCTGACAATGTTCCCCCAGGTTAGCACTCTTAAAAATCATGTAAAAAATCTAATTTTGCATTGAATATAAAACCCATAATAATTTTATATTATATTATGCAGGGACAGTGATAGACAACAAAGTTTGTCATCCACGGAACAATGATTTTTACATGTGTGCACATGCTGGAATGATTGTGAGTATTACCATATACTTCTGGAATTAACTCTTTACTGATCTCACATCATTTTGTTTTGTCAAATACCTATTTTAGTCTTGTGAAATTCAACTGTAGAACACGATACATCCATGAGCCCCCATAAGCCCTTTGGGCTCATTCTGTCCTTATCTTCTCTTGGTAATTTACACTATGTTTGGATTGAGTGATTTGGAGAGAGAAGAAAGGGAGAGAGATGTGTTTTTCTTTTTTGTTTGGATAATTTAAGTGGAGAGAAATGGGAAGAAATGGATAGAAACAGAGAGAAATCCATTTCTCTTATAACCCTCTTTTTCAATCTTCCCAAAAGTGGAGAGATTGGGAGAGAAGAAACCAACGGATTCTTATATTTCATAATACCAATTTTGTCCCTTTAAAAATAAAAGAAATAAAATGATTGACAAAATATAAAAAGGTTATTTTGGTAATATAATATAAAATAATTTCTTTTCTTTTCTGGTATGAAATCTAACCAGACAAGGAGAGAAATCAGAGTCATTTTTTTTTTAATTTTTTTTCCTCTTATAACCTAATTAATCATTTCTTTTCTTTTATGTCCTGGTTCCCAAACATAGTGTTAATGTTCTGAACTCATCCATGACCGCTACCCTTCTCTTCTCTCCACTGCCACTGGCTGTTTTAGCCGAAGCAGCTACTACCTTAGCCATTATTAAATCATATAGATGATTAATGTCAGTGGAAATTTGAATCTCTCTCTCTCTCTCCTGCTAGTTGTCTCGCTATAAAACGATAGAATTCTCATCTTCTGATTGAATGCTTAAATTCTGGCGGGAGATTGCCACCTTTAGAATACACTTATCTCTTTCTTGTAAGCTTCCTCTAAAATTTGCTAGAGAATTTTATCCCTAGAATCATTAGTTGATTTACAATTTCTATTAAATTACAAGTGTTTAGCAATTTATGAAGGATAATGCAGCAGCAAGTTACGAGTGTTTAGTCGTAGTGTGGCTGTTCTTTTCACTCTTAGACAATGAGAATATATTGAACTTTGGCTATTTGTTTTAACCCTTGTTTTTCTTAATAGGGGACTACAAGGCCAACACATTACCACGTCCTGTTAGATGAGGTTGGCTTTTCAGCTGATGACCTCCAGGAACTTGTGCATTCCCTGTCATACGTGTAAGTAGATTCTGAACGAAGCATTCTTTGGAGCCAATTTCACTTTAAGCATATGTCTAGAGCTGTAAACAATATATATCCTTCTAAATTGTTGGTTTTTTGATTTGTTTTAGGTACCAGAGAAGCACTACTGCAATTTCTGTAGGTAATTCTTGTTTCTTAATATAAAAATGCAGCCTCTTATCAGGCAGAAACATCAACAGGCTGTGTTGGTGTTTTGTAATTAGCCTTCTCAATTTCAAGCACAAAACAATATCGCACCTGTGTGTGTCAAACACGGGCTTGGTGACTATAGATACTTTTTTGGTCAAATGCTAATGGTAGTTTAGTTATCACATGTGATGATTCAATCAAGATAGTTGTTGAGTTACTCAAATGCATGACATTCTATATGATTCCCATAGAAGAGTAATGGTTCGCCTTCTCTCTCTCTCTCACTCTCTTGCGCGTGTGTGTTTGCAGTCGCTCCAATATGTTATGCCCACTTGGCTGCCACTCAGATGGGGCAGTTTATGAAATTTGAGGACATGTCAGAAACTTCCTCAAGCCACGGTGGAGTGACATCTGCTGGAGCTGTTCCTGTCCCTCAGTTGCCCCGATTGCAAGAGAATGTGTGCAATTCCATGTTCTTCTGTTAAGGCTTGAAAGCCCCATAAGCTTTTCTCTCCTTGTGTAAAAACGGTAGGTTAGATGTATGGTTGTATATAGTAAGTATCTGGCTTGTTGTGTGACTTTTGACCCAAGCAGTAACTTGGATCCTTTTAGTTTATTTGGTGTGACTGTCCTCTTGACTCAAAACAGCACTTGGATCCTGTTTGTTTCCATGGTGTATCAGTACTCCGTTTCTGTTTTGACACCATGGTTTGTTTATGTTCTGGCTATGCCTGCTTTGCTCCTTTGTTGCTTGGTTGCAAATTTATGAGTGGCTGGAGAATTGTTATGATGGTTTATTGTTCTGTTTGATTCAGCAAAAAAATATTTTTTGAATTTTTTTTCACATTTTCTGGCTTTTGGTTTGACAAAAGCAGATAACAAGCTTGTTTTTGGAGCCAACTAAGCCTAGCTTAGTTGGCCGACTATCCTAAGGGTTTAGGGTTCAACTCTACGGAGAGTTGAATTAAGCGGGAAAGCCCTTGTTGTTTTGCAAATGGTGGAAAGATCAACTTATTTAATCTAACAATTAATAATTAACTTTTGCGTATCAAAAAATTAAAAAAAAAACAAGCTTATTTTTTGGTGGGACACATCTTGTAGTTTTTTGGGACTAGTCTTATCAAGGCCACTGCACCTCCACCACTCCCACCATTACTAGTAATATAATCATTAATACATTAGTTTTAAGATCCCAACCAATCTATAAAAAATCGTTCTTGGCCAAAAAATATTGTGCTTTAAACAAATAAAGCATAAATCATTTGGGTCATAAATACATTTTAGCTGCCAAAACAGAGTTCAACATTCTTCCGTGGGTTACTTTTCTAGATTCATGTTCTCTTGTCAAAAAATCAAAGCTATTGTAGTGACTTGCAATGCGTGAAGCATAGAAGTCACTGTTACGTGACTGGTGTAGGTGTTTCAATTTAATGATCTGAATGGTTGAGTTTTTAGAATATGTCGTGTGGAATAAACTTATAAATTTTTTTGTTAATTGGACATTATTAGCTTTTTCATCAAATTATATTCATATTTAATTTTATTATGTAAAACAACAGTTATCATTTTTTTTATACAAATGTGTTTTGATGAAAGAATTATCGATATCTGATTAATTTCATTTTTTATAGACATATATCCTAAAAATAGAACAATTAGAATAATTAATATGAGTTTCGAAATGGGCCTCATTGCATGGATACACAGGCAAGTGAGCGATCCTTCTAGAGTAACGGTCCTAGGGATGACAATTTAAAACTGACCTAACGGGGACCCAATCCCCCGACTCTGATTTGAACAGTTTTTTCTCGAAAAATACCCCTGATGGGATAGGGATGGTATTTAAAAATCAATCATCGATCAATTTCAGGCCAGAGATGGTAATAAGTGTCCAGGCCCCCGGTCTCGTTTGTTCCCAAAGTGGTATATATATATATATATGCACTTTTTGATTGACTATTTCTCTCTCTCTTTCTCTCTCTCTCTCTCTCTCTCTCTCTCTCTTCCTCATCGTCTCTCATCTCTCTCTCCCTCTCACTCACTCAGAGAGAGAGAACAACGAATCAGAGTCGTCGCGATGCCAGAGCACCGAATCTGATCTCTCTCTTTCTGCCGCGATGTCAGAGCACCGAATTTGATCTCTCTCTTTGCCACGATGCCAGAGTTGTGGAACATCCATACTCGGGCATCGGTTCTCTCCGCTACGACAGATCTGAGCAGTTCTCTCTCTCTCTCGCTCTCTACTCAGATCTCTCTCCCTCTCTATGATGTTGATGATGTTGTTTGATGATGTTGAGGATGTTGAATCGTTGTTTGATGCCAGAATTTGATCTCTCTCTTTGCCACGATGCCAGAGTTGTGGAACATCCATACTCGGGCATCGGTTCTCTCCGCTACGACAGATCTGAGCAGTTATGCTCGTTTTTTTTTTTTTTTTTTTTTTTTTTTTTTTTTTTTTTGGTCTGGGGAATTTTCAGGGTCGGTAAAACCTGATCCCCGTTAGAGGGCAGGGACGGGGACGGTGATAGGTTCCCGTCGAGGATCGGGGTCGGAGACGTGGAAATTTTTACCATCGGGGATCAGGGACGGAGAGTGTGATTCCTGACCATGCCCCCACCCCCGCCCTGTAGCCATTCCTAAACAGTTCAACAAATCTAAACCAATATCCTTTCACCTGTAGTTGAGGGTTGGCATGGGGCTATCCTTAGGCCGCAAAATGGTTTTCCTAACTATATTTGGTTCAGATAGAAATTCAAAAGGGAAACGAAAAAAGTAGATAAATGTGAATGTGAATGAAATATAAATATATTTAACTTACATTTCGTATACCTTTTTAAATTTCTTCCCAAATTCATTAATCGAGCATAGCCTAATGTGTTTTCATGACTGTTTTCTTATATAATTATATTTCACTTAATGTATTGTTTCCTGACTCGTTGGGTTGGGTCATTCGTGGATCAAAACATTAAGTCCAAGCCTTACAAGAGATTTTATTTACACTAAAAAAAATATTAAGTACTCTAAATCTCTCAATACGCTCTGTTTAATTATTTAGGATTTTATGTTACTCTCGATACACCTTGTGACGGTGTTTGGGAACCCAGGTTGGTGCAGATTTTATTCACAACGGAAAAAAATTCAAAAAAGGCGCACTGTAGCTGAGTCAATAAGCTAAGTCCAGCTGTATGGCACTTCGTGGGTAAAATGACGTTTTTACCCTCCGTTGCTCTACCTATTTGGCACTATGACATTCATCTCTCATATCTCAAAAAACTCTCACAGAAGCTCTCTACCTGGACGCTTTGACCGAGTCGACTACCTCTCCGGCGGCTCACTCCGGCGGCACTGTTACGGAAGACAAAGTGGCCGATCGTTGAGGACCTACTAAGGTACGGTTGGCAAACGCCATTATCTGAAATTTATCTTCACCGATCTGCAACGTAATTTACAATAGTTCTCCTCTGCAATTTTTTTTTCTCCGTTCGTCGTTCAGTAACCGATCTTCCTACTTATCTTCACCTGCTCGTGTGCAACAGAAATTACATTGCAATGCAAACCATTTTTCCTCTTCACCGTCTTCCTTCATTTTGGGTTTTGTTCAGATTTTCTTCACCAAATTTTTTTTGACCCTTTTTGCCATCTACATAACAACTACAATGTTAAAAAATGAATTTGGCACAGACCATCTAGAAGTTGTCTGCATCGATTTTTTTTTTTTTTTTTCAATGAATTTTTTTTTCCAATGAATTTCATTTCCTGTGTAGAGTACAAAACATGGACAAAATTTCTCAAACTTAATTTTTTTTTTCTTTTCCAAAATTATTCCCATATATGAAATTTTGCTTTCATCAAAAAATTAATAAAATTTCTAATTTACATTTGATGAATTTTTAGTTTGGAAAAAAATACATCTTTTCTAATTTCATTGAACCTGTTCTTTGTAGGCCCTAATTTATTGAACAAATAATTTCATGGTTCAGAGTGTTGGGATTTTTGTTATGGAATAGCAGATTCAGCAAATAAATGTTGGAAGTGTCGTCCATAAGATTGGGCAAATACTTTAATGGCTTTTTTTTTCTTTTTTTCTTTTTTTTTGGAGTTCATGTTTGGAGATTATTGAATTGGGCCGTTTCGTCTATTATTATACTCTTCATTTATTTTTTCATTTTCTAATATGACTTGGTATATGCTAAAGATGAGTCTTGGTATATGCTAAATGTGCCATACTGTTTTGGACCTCCATATTCATTTTGTAATTCTTTTTCTGTTTTTTTTCTTTTTTTTTTCTTTTCCTCCGGAATGTTTTCCAATTTATGGGTTGATTTTATAATTGCGTTGTAACAATTGGTGTATTGGAATTTATGAGTTATGGTACGTTATGAATTTGTTTTGCAATTCTATGAGGTATTGAAATTTGTATTGGAATGTTGTTGGGTATTGGAATGTTGTTGCCTTTTTGGTATCCTTCACCAGGTATAGATTTCATGAATTAGTAATTAATTGATTATAACAAAAAAAAAAAAACAGCGTTCGTTTAGGTTTTTCCCAAGGGCACACAAATGTGGTTAACACATGGACACAAAAATCTTTATGTCTACTAATGGACAAGTGTTAACTGTGCATTGCATTTGAAGTGCCCACAGCTGTTCCAGTTTGCTTAAATAACAATTTAGTCAATCTGTTATGCTGTTCACAAAAATGGGATGTAATAAAAATAGATTGCTATTCCTTCATTCTTTTTATGTAATATATTATATGTTACATTAGCTTTGGAATACTTGTATTGCAATGTAGTCATGTGCTTGCTCTGTGTATAGTCATATGGCTTCCTCTTTTTCCATTGCCATGTCGACATGGCCACAGCGCATGTGTTCTTGTGGCTATGGCCATTGTCTTGTGAAGGTATCCAGATCTCACAAAAATCCTGGGCGTGCATATTATGTTTGCCCCCCGGCCCATGGTGAGTTGTACCAAATGATTATTTGTCACTCCAGTTATATGCACACTGTAATTCCCATAACTAATAATTGTTTTACGTTTCTCACTCATCAGCAGTGAGGTAATTGGATTGGTTGGTGTGACGAATCAGGGACACGGATCCTTGACCATGACTCTGGGTCAACCGATGTCATGCAGGTACGAGCTGATGTCGTGAATATTTTCAATACTTTGCGTGTAATGAAAACGGTGATTTGTCTATTGTGCATCATGGTCATCATCTTATTATTGCGAATGTAAACCCCGTAAAAACCCCTTCATCAATATGTATACATTTGTTAGTGTCTTGAAGAAGTACTATGCTGAACAAGTAAATGCATTGTCATCGTTGTTATGTAAACGCTACATGTTGTTAGTAATTATCGTACTACTTTTTATCAAACTATGGAAGTTGTGTTGTACATATTGTTCATAGTTTATGTTTGAAATGTATTAATCAACTGCGTTCTAATGTATACAATATGTCCCCTCACAGTAGTGTAATGGTTGCAACACGGTCGTCCCCTCGTACCCCGTCTAAGAATAAAAGGGTTGGCTCATCAGGTACCGAAGGCATTGTTGATGGCTTAGATAATGCACATAAGGCGAACTGGGACAGTGTAGCGACAGAAATCTTCTTACAGTGTGTGTTAGGGACGCAATATTAGCGGGCTGTCGGGTAGGTACAACCATAACCAGAACAGGGTATAATGAAATCGCACTGAAATTCGCTAAGCGCACGGGTAGACGTCATGACATTACACAGTTTAAGAACAAATACAGCAGTTTGACAAAGGAATGGCAGGCCTGGATCAAGTTGATGGATACCAGTAAGGGTGTGACTGGCATTGGGTTTGACAGGGAAACTTGGTTGTTCACAGCGTCGGAGGAGTGGTGGGACAATCTCAAATCGGTATGCACAAACATATATTTTATTGTGCATAATAAGTAGCCCCTGTAATTTTGTACACACATGTAACTGAAAGTCACTTGTTCGTTGAATGTCCCATGTCACTGTGACGGAAAAATTAAGTTGTACTTTCATTTCCCATTTGCAGACAAACAAGATCGCTTACAAGTTCAAGACAAAATCATTAGAGCATGAAGATTTGATACGCGAAGTATTCACTGGTGCAACTGCGACTGGAAAACACCATTGGACGCCGGGGGAGAAGGCTGTGGATGTTGGCGAAGGTAAATCTGACTCAGTGGACTCTCCTGGGTTAGCACCATTTACCGAGCCATACAGACTAGTCGTTAACTCACCTCCAAACTCCCCCACCGTCCACCTTGACGAAGCAGACCCCGGGACAGAGGAAAAAAGGAGGCAACACTAGTGGAAAGTCGAAGAAGGTCTCTACTGGAGCATCGGTTCTTGTGAATAGTTTTAACCATCTGTCTAAGGCGATTGAAACACAGAAACACCTGACGGTCAGGCACGGAACTGGTGCATCGCAGAAGTATGGCTATCCCGAACTTCATCAGCACCCCACTGTTCCATTTCGCCTGCACTGCGTTAGAGAACGTGGATTACCGGGAAATATTGATGCGCATGCCAGATGATGAGAATGTAGTCGGTTGGCTTCAAGCATTGCAGGTTTCAAAAGGCCTGTGAGTACTTCGGTTTGGTCTTTCATGCAAAAATGGGACATCTTTGGTTTTCATGTACTTTTGTGTTTTTTGTGGACTAGTTCTGTGGGTCTTTTTTTTAAGTTGTTTTATTTTTTTCTATGGTTTCACAGCGATGTAGTTATTGTTACTTTACTTTTGTGGACGGTATGTACTTTTGTCTTACGCAATATGGGATCATGTTGTAACCTTTATTTTTGGGCATAGTTCACTTTAATGGTTGCATGTAACGTAATGGATAGTTGATGTGTTGCAATTTATGGTTGAACGTTACTGGTCCAAATGTGCTTAGTTTACAATTGGATAATTGATTTATGTGTTGTGTGCATTGTAGGAGTCATCAACGAATAATGTGGAAACGTCAAAGCAGCAACTATAGAAATTACGATGATGTAACCATCGAACTCGCAGAGGAAGAAGAAGACCTACAAAAAAGCGTAATCGGTGATGCTGCGCAGCATGCAATGGAATATTACCTGAAGTACATGGAGCAGATCCCGTGCCGAACTTCTATTATGACCGGTCGTGCATGGATTCAAGAATTGTTTGATGGACACATAGGCAGACGTGAACAAAATTTGCATATGCCGCTGTATGTGTTTCAAGCGTTGTGTGACACATTGCGAAGCGATTTCGGTTTACGAATACCTACAAGACCCCATGGATTACACATTGAAGAAAGTGTTGCGATGTTCATCCATACGTTGGACAGATGCAAAAACTGAAAACTTCAGGAACGCTTCCAACACTCGAGAGAAACTGTGTCGCGACATTTCCATGCAGTGTTGGAAGCGATGAAGTTGTTCACAAAGTGCATTGTAAGCCCACCAGAGATCAAAATAATAGGCATCCATATTTGCGATCCAGAGAGAAATACGTGCCTTTCAAGGTTAGCATACTAGTTGCCGTTATCGGTTAATTTTGATTTTATGTGATGTACGTAAACCTCATGTCATGTACGTTATTGGTGCAGCATTGTATAGGAGCGTTGGACGGTACTCATGTAGAAGCCGTGTTGCCTGCCTGTGATGCCGGCACATATTACGGTCACAAAGGATATCCAACCCAAAACATACTAGCAGTATGCGACTTCGACATGTGTTTCATTTTCATATCTTGTGGTTGGGAAGGAAGCATGCATGACAGTCGCATCTTTAACGAAATAATTGGGAACGAACATGCACCGTTCCCGCATCCCCAAGAAGGTAACACATTTGAAATTAAGTACTCAATTATTAATTTTGTTGAAAATCTTTAATTGATTGACCAAATGTAGGTAAATATTACCTTGTGGATGCGGGATATGCAAACAAGAAGGGGTATTTGGCACCATACAAAAAATCCCGGTATCATCAAGCAGAGTTCCGGGATCGTGGACAACTTGATAACCCAAGAGAATTGTTTAACAAGGCGCACGCGTCATTGAGGAGCGTGGTGGAAAGAACATTTGGAGCGTGGAAATCGCGGTGGAAGTTCCTGAACAACATGCCGGACTATGATTTTGCGACGGTGCAGGTGCCATTGGTTGGTGCGTCAATGACCTTACACAATTTCATCCGTAGGCACGAGATAGCTGCTAATGCACACAACGAACATGTCAGCTGTTCCTCTGTTCCAGATGACATGCCCGCTGCGAAAGGCGGACAAAATATGGATGATGGCCTCATGGTTGGAGATACGAATGTAGATATGGCAAGAGTTTGCGTGCGCATCCGTGACCATTTGTTTCAAATACGGAGTCAAGGACTATTGTGAAATGCTTGTTATCTAGTTTATGTGTTTGTGTAATTTGTAATTTGTATTTCCACATTGCAATGGGATTGTAACAAATTATTTAAATAAGTAATTTGTGTACGGAGAATGAAAGTGTGTTGCAAATTTACATTTTTTTGAAGTACTACATCTTATTCGAATAAAATGAAAAATTAAAATAAATTGTGAAAATTAAATTTTATATGTGAAAATTAAAATAAATGAAAAATTAAAATAAAATAAAATTTTATATGTGAAAATTAAATTTTATATGTGAAAATTAAAATGAATGTTGACAAACAAATTGTTTGGGGCTTTTCCCAAATTAAGCGAAATTAGTAACCTATTTCCCAAACTAGGCCTAGTTTGGACAGAATTTCCAAACTAGACCTAGTTTGGATGGAATTCCCAAACTAGGCCAAAGCGCTATTACAAATCACGCTTTCACTGTTTGGAGTTGAAAATTTTGATGAATAGTGAAAGTGCTATTACAAATCACGCTTTCACTGTTTGGAGTTGAAATTTTTGATGAATAGTGAAAGCGCTATTACAAACCACGCTTTTAAAGGTAAGTTTGTTTTCTGAAAAAAACGTGGTTCCAAACCACGCTTTCACTGTGCATATATTTTCTGAAAAAAACGTGGTTCCAAACCACGCTTTCACTGTGTTGTGAAGAAAGCGTGGTTAGACACCACGCTTTCAACACTGTCCCAAACACACAAACACTACACTCACAAACACACACTCTCTCTCTCTCTGACACAAATACAAACAAACACAAACATGACTCACACACACACTCACACTCAATATATATATAAATTTTAATATATATTTATAATTTAATATATATATAAATTTTATTTCATAAAATTGAAATCAATATTAAATATATACAATAATTTATAATAACAAATAATAATCAACTATATAAAATGATTACTTTTTTATTTTAATTCTTAATTTTTTTTATTTTACTGTTTAGGGATAAAATTTATTTTTTTTTATTTAGGGTTTAGGGTTTAGTTTGTTCATTAATCACTCAATAGTAAAACAAATATAAACAACAAACTTTTACTGCTATCTCGAACCATTTGGGATTGACTAATAAAATGAATAAATTATTACTTTTACTTCATATCATGTTACTGTCCTACAAAGAGAAAAATGGTTGTTAGAGAATGGAAGGGGGCCACGGTTAGGTATTTGCAGGAAGTAGTTATACAATCCATAACATTCTAAACTGAAGCTTGAAAGCCGGGGGGGCCACGGTCACCTATGGTCTCGATATAGTTCTGTCCCTAGCTGTAACCCCCTTCGAATCTATAAAAGTGCGAAGGTATATCGTAAACTCTTGTTTACTTAATGAAATTCGATTTCTGACACTGTTTCTCCCTCTTTCTTTTACTTTTGTGATTAGTTTTCTGAATTTTCTCCTAAAACATGCCACTAATAAAAGTCCTCTTTATTGAGACTAAATTTTTTTTTGAAGCAATCGTCTGATTAATTAGTCGACATTTACTATCTTTGTAAGGACTTATTGATCTTTGCTGGCACGCTCTAATTACATTTCTACCTTTTGAAAACCAAAAAAGTCAACAACTTTGCTGTCTAATAATTAAAAAAGTAATTAAAATATCAATTCATGAATTAGTCCTTGATCCATCTAAACAGACGGGGTAATGAATATTGATCATGTATTAGTCAAGTGTATCTAGCTTTACCCATCTTTACCCATTAATGATTTATCAAAACTGTATTATATGAGTTTGGATTCTCTCGGAATTAAGAAAAATAGTAGGCAAAACTGGAAAGGTATAATGAGACTCTAGTATACTTTTTCCATAGGTAGTGGGCTCTTACACCAGGAATTTTAGGCAACAGGAATGAAAGTCGGTAAAGTAGGCAAAAAGCCAGAGTTGAAGTACCCAAATTGGACCTCCTAGATTAGGCTCTAGAGACCTCTTACAAAATCGAGAACAAACCCTATATATATAGCCAAGAACGTAAGGGGCTAGGGCTATCCTTTTCTTTGAAGCCAGGGTCTTGGCAAGGGGGACAAATTTGGGCATTATCTTTTGAGAGAAGGTACAAAAAAGAAATTTACAAAGCCAGTAAAAGATAAAAGAACAGAACTCTCGATCGGTCACAGGATCTTCCCTTTTGTTCTTAATTGCTACAAAGTCACTATAGGAAGAATTTGAAGAAGGAACAGAAAATGAGACCGTAAGGTCTGGGTAATTAGGACCAAAGGGGTCACCAATGGGTGAGAGCCCTAAAAGATGCCACATATTGAGAACGGTGGAGGCCATCATACCACACCGAAATTGAAAAAAGTTAAAAATAGAGTTCTAAAAACAAAGAACAACTAGGATAAGGAAATGACCTTCAGGATTTATGAACCTGGAAAGTCGAAGGGCATCAAGAATACATAGATCCTCTAGGTCATGTTCTCTAGCCTCAACGACTCTGTCATACCATTCCTCTCATTTTGTCTTCAATGCGGGCCAATAGTGATGGAGTTGAGTGGCCCTCTAACCTCCCTAGTTGAACTTCCCTTCATAAAGAAGGTAATAATCCTCTAAGTGTGGGTACAAGAGGGGAAGTGCAGCTGAAGCCTCAGTGAAAATAGGGCCAAGGATATACTCCCCTTTTGCGTGGTGGCGAGGGATGAAGTCCCTTCCATTGATTGCACTGTAGCCCTCTAGTTTATTGTACTTGGCTATTTCTTCATTTATACATCTCCTCAAAGCCACTGAGGGATGTAGGCATTCGACAACTGGCAAATTTATAGAGGAAAAAGCTGTCATCGATGGGAGTTGAATGAGGGATTAAATAAGTGAGAAGTGAAGGCAAAGATGAACAAGAGTTGGCATAAGAGCAGGGGTGAGTACAAGTAGGAGTGAGAGTAAGAAATGAGTAAGTAAGTAGGCAAGAGCGTGAATATTAGGGCTTTATACCTTATTGTGTAAGTTTTCCATTTAATCAAATGGGTCAAATAGTTTCAAGCTATTTGAGTTTTTTTGACCCATATGGAGTTAGGATCCATTTAACATTTCGAGGGTCTTGGGAGTACATTTTGGACTTTCTACCAAGTAAGTTTCCTTTGAATAAGCATTTTATTATCTCTAGAAGAGAGAAAGTGTGCTTCGAAATACCTAACTTGGCCTCAAAATGAATGGGTTGCTTCGAAACCAGTATTTGCTAGTATGTTAACAAGTTTGATTAAAAACATGCATATTAACAAGTACAAACCATGTAATTGGAAGAAATAAACCAATATTTTATTAAATAAATAAATAAATAATTACATTGAAGGACCTACTTGAGCACATTCTCAATTTTCAACTCATGCTGTTTGCCTTTCAATGTGACTAGAGCTTGTGCTCGTTGAGGTGAGGCCTCCTACAAAGGCCTAGTGCCAATAAAAAGAAATACTGAGAGTGATAAAGGTATAAAATGAGGGGAAGGAAAGCAAAAGAAGAGACAGAGCATGTACCTTTCTTAGTGGCAACCCTTGTTATTCTGAGTGTAGAGGCTAAAACAGTAAAAGTGGAAGCAATGGTGATGCCAGCCTTTATGGTTTTGGCTTTCCTACCTTGGGCTGGCATATCCAACTCTTTCAGTAAAACCAAGGTGGGAGTAGCAAGACGCACCTCCATGTTTGCTAACCACCAATCTTGAAACATTTTCATGACGCCACTATGACCAATGAAAGGTACAAATTCAAAACTAGTGGTATCCTTTGAAACCTTGATTATTGTTTTATCTGGCCTGAGCCTTGAAACCTTTAAGTTTTTGGTGTCGAGCTCAGAGTTTGAGAGGCTGCAAAGAGGGATTGGGATCCCCTGAATACGCCTAAATCTCCTTGTGAATTGGGCAGGGCAGTGAGCCTCAACAATGCAATTGTAGGCCCTGCGGTTTAAGGTACCAATGAAAAGCTCCCTCGGAACTAAAATTGAGGCCCACATCTCCTTATGATTAGGCCTGGAGCAGGTGGTGTCAGATAAGAAGGCTCTTAACCATGCTGACCCCATATTGATATTGAATGGACAGAAGAAGGAATGGCGAATGGAGGTTGGGAGATTGTGGAAATAAGAAAAGTGGTAGGTAGAACTGAAAGGGTTTAAGGAAACTTCGGCATACTTCTCTCCACAAGTGGTGGGCTCTTACACCAAGAATTTCAAGCAGCGAGAGTGAAAATCAGTGAAGTAAGCAAAAATGCAGAGTTGGGGAACCCAAATAGGGCCTCATTCATTAAGCTCTAGAGGCCTCTCACAAAATTGGTAACAAACCTTATATACATGATCTAAAACATAGGGGGCCCAAGCTATCCTTTTCTTCGAAGCTAGAGCCTTGGCAAGATGGACAAATTTGGATATTATTTTTTGAGAAAGCCAGTAAAGAATGAAAGAAAATAATTCTCGTTCTGTCACAAGACCTTCTCTCTTATTCTCAGCTCCTATGAATTCACTATAAGAAGGATTCGAAGTAGGAACAAAGTAAGAGACCTTAAGGTCTGGATAATTTGGGCTAAAGGGATCACCAATAGGTAAGAGCCCTAGAAGATGACACATATGTAGAACGGTGGGGGCCATGATATCACACTAAAATTGGAAAAAGTTGAAAGCTGGGTTCCAAAAATAAAGAGTAGCAGGAATAAGAAAAGGGTCTTTAGGGATTATGAACCTAGAAAGACGGAGAGCATCAAGAATGTAGAGGTCCTCTAGGTCTTGTTCTCTAGCGAAAACAACCCTATCATACCATCCCTCTCATTCTGTCCTCAATGTGGGCTAACAATAATGAGGTCGAGAGGTCCTCCAATCTCCCCAGTTGAACTTCCTTTCATAGAGAAGGTAGTGATCTTCCAAGCGAGGATACTTGGGAGGAAGTGGGATTGGAGCCTCAGTAAAAATAGGGCCAAGGACATATTCCCCTTTTTCTCTATTGCGAGGGACGAAGTACCTCTCATTCATCACATTCTGGCCCTCTGGTTCTTTGTTCTTGGCTATCTCTTCATTTATACATCTCCTCAAAGCCACTGAGGGATGTAGGCATTCGACAACTGGCAAATTTATAGAGGAAAAAGCTGTCATCGATGGGAGTTGAATGAGGGATTAAATAAGTGAGAAGTGAAGGCAA